CCTTCTGTTTTGATGTCCTAACAATCTGTTCCTACTGGGCATGTCTACACGAGACATTTATTGTAGTGTTGCCTAATTGGCTCTGCAGTAAATGTCTTGCATCTACATATGCAGTGCTATTAGGCAGGAGTAAACTAATTAACTCTGCAGCAAGCTAGTACTGCTGTGGAGTTTTTTTTTTACTCTGCATCACCGCATGTGTAGATGCATCACCCACCTGGGTGGGGCATGATGTGCTTCAGTGCAGGGGTTGCCTGCCAGCTAGTCCCATAATGAAGTACCCTTGTGCCCTAGCCAGCCCCTCCACATCATATTGAGCTGGGCTTGGAGCAGCCCTAGGCTGGCAGACTGACCCCGCACCGAACACCCTACCAGCCAGGGCTGCTCTTCCCCAACCCACTGTGCTGTGGTCCCAGGCACACGTGTAAAGATGGCACCCGGGACCAATAGACTCCAGCACAGTATGTGCCAGTGTTTATTGCTGCACATTAATATGTACATGTAGATGTACCCACTGTCTTTATAGCTGTCTTTTGGCAGTGAGATTCAATGAGTCTCCCACACCAGTGATCATTCTACCACACTTTCTCCTAATATTTGGTAAAATATAGGGAAAAGACAAAATAAGGTACTAAAAGATAATAACATCTTATTTCCCATATAGTGGATGATCAATAATAATAAATCATATAATATCAAAATAAGTTACTAGGAAATAATTTTCCCATATAATGGATGATCCATATTCAGTAAAATAACCCTAATGTACTAAACTGCTACAAAAAAAGCCTGCTAATTGCTACACAGCATGGGTAAATATTTACATTTGCTATACCGCTGAGTTTCCTACATTTCAGAATATTAAAGAACAATCATTTGAATAGCATCTTCTATAGTACCAAGTACCTGGAGACTTCATTCCATTTGAAAATTCAGTATATTTTTTTATAAATTATATGCAATCAACCACATTATTTCTAGTTAAAAGGAAGGAGGCTAACTTAGTTATATGGGGGTATAAATCAGGAAGGTAAGAATGAATAATTTGTGGATGGCAGCAGGTGAACTTCCTGGATCCCTGGGAAATTTGAACATTAACGTTTTTCAAAGGTGGGGAGTGCTGTGGTGTTCTGAAGCTCCCTTCCTGAAGGTTTCAGCAAGTTCATAAGACAGTGTGTAATGCAGGAGCAATGTATATGTGGGTGGGATATAGGGTAGTGGAGAAGGGAGGCTTTTTTTATCCACAATGATATGTAAGTATTTCAAGTTTTCTATCTAGAAAATGTAAAGCATTTGAAGTTCAACACAGGTAAAACTACTTTTCTGTTCTTCCTTCTTAAGTCCTTTCAACCTCAGTAGACCTTCCGTACCAGGCCACTTCCCTGTATCTATAGGTCTAGATAAAGAATCTATAGGTCCTTTCTCCCCCACGCCTACCTACTCTCATTTTTTCTCTGTTTCTTAACCCTACAACCTTCTCTCCCTCCACTTCTCCATCTTTCAAACATTCAGCCCAGACTAAGCAGAAAATTAATTTATACACATTTTAAATGATTGCAAAGATCCCTGTCCGTGCAAAAGGAGTTGTACACAAGTCTGGCTTCACCTAACCTCAGCTGTTAATAATTTAGACGGGGGAAAATCGATGTGATGGAGGGGAATAATGCTGTGCATGTTTCTGTAAAGCTTTTCTCTGCCCTGACTTTGTCAAAATCAGTAATAGGACTTTCAGCCAGAAATGTACCTATCTTCAAAAATGTGGGGTGCAGGAATGAATTATGAAACTTTTGTGTTTATAATGTCCCTTGGAAGTAGCACATTCCTTCTCTTCAAGCAAGACTGCCAGTTTCCCATTTCATTAATTTTGAGCCTGTGAGGAAAGGAAGACCATCCTCTTTCACTGTCTCTTTATTTGCACACTTTAATGATCCCCTAGTTATTACTTTCTCTGCCTACTTAAGTATTGGATTTCTATATCCCAGTCACTAGCAGCTTATAATAAAGGGCTGTAGGTTCATGCATATATGCAGTGCATGCAGACAGACCTGCACACACACATGCATACATACATACACACACACACACCTTGAAACCTTTTTTTCCTTAATTTTTCCTAACAGTTGTCCTCCATAAAGATGATACGCTGGGAACAGAGATGACATGTGAAATTTCGAAGGAATTGTGTACACACGTTCAAATAATCTGGGAGAATTCTCCCAGATTATTTTCTCTCAGTAGAAAAATTTACCCAGAGCTATGTGTACAGACATTTGAATACTGAGGCCCTGAAAAGTGAAGAGCTTGCAGTGCTCACACTGTACAGCCAGGGGATATGTACACACATCTCAGTATGCTCTGCAGGCTCCCCTAATCTGCTTGGCAACACATGGCAGCAGTGCATATAGCAGCCCCGACTGGCTAACCCAGATTGCCCATGGTCAGCCTGCACTGTCAGCATGTATAGCTATTCACTCTCCCAGGATAAACACTCCTGGAAGTGATTTAACTGTAGTTGTTCCCAGGTTATTTGTCTCTTGGAGCAGCCATTTACTCTGGGATAAAAAGCCTGAACATCTGTATACTCATGGTTTCCTTGATTTTATTTGGGATGAGGTTTTGAGCAGTAGGGTGATGGTGTTAAAATTCAGGTATAGAAGCTACTGCCAAATGGTTTACCATAATTAAATCCAAAGTACTCCATCAGGACTTCAATGTCATCATTTGTTATTGCTCCATTAAATTTACTCCTCCAAAACATTCAGAAGCTTCATACTATTTTCCTATCAGGGAGCAAATTTATATAGCTAGCTATACAACGCTTCTTTACAAATTATAATCCCTGGTTCTCCTTTTTCAGTCAAAAGACCTGTCTTAGAGAATTGCTTAGTTCAAAACATGGAGAGAGACAGGTTTACGGCTAATTCTGAGAGAATCCTTTATATACTAGCAGTATGGTGATGCTACTGTTTTCTGTCATACACGCGACAGGGGTTTAGTTTTAAAAACTCACCGTTTCAATTTAGAGAGAACTAAACCCACTGGTCATGTGTATACAAGTGTTAGGGGGCCCGATCCTTAGAGCCTACCTGCCTTTCCCATGGCTGGGAGGGTGGGGGGGGCGAGCTGCCAGTGGGCCAAGCGGTCCCTGAGCTGCAGGGGTCCCTGGTGCTTCCCTCTGCAGTGGTAGTGCCCCTCAGGCGGCACCTGCCTGCTGGCACCCAGCCCAAGTGGTCCAGGGGGGCGCTGCCACTGTGGAAGGAAGCACTGGGACCCGCGCAGCTCAGGGTCTGTGTGACCTGCTCATGCAGGCAGGCTCAACTGAAGAGAGGAAAAAGCAGTAAGGAGCCTGATTTTTTTTTTTTCTTGTCTTTTCCCTCCCAGACCCTGCCTGACTGCCTGAGCTGCACAGGGCCTGGTGCTTCCCTCTGCAGCTGCGGCGCCTTTTGGGCAGCTCCCACCCTCTAGCAGCCCACCCAAGAGCTGCCCGGGCAGCACTGCAGCCATGAAGGGAAGCACCGGAGCCTGCGCAGCTCAGGCAGGCAGGCAGACAGGCTCGGGGGTGGGGTTGGAAAATCAGGCTCTGTCGCTTTTTTTTCTTCAGTTGAGCCTGCCTGCACGAGCTGCCCCCGGGTCAAACAGCCCCTGAGCTGCATGGGGCCTGATGCTTCCCTCCACGGTGGAAGCACCCCCTGGGACTGCCTGGGCCAGGTGCCAGTGGGTGGGTGCTGCCTGGGGGGCACCACCACCGTGGAGGGAAGCACTGGGGTCCCCTGCAGCTCAGGGACGATTTGGCCTACCAGCAGCTTGCCCCCCACCTTTTCCCCCCTGCAGCAAGAATAGCAGGTAAGCT